AGCAAAGGGCTGCAGGTCAGATTCGAACCCTGGGCCGCAACTAAATTAAAGTGTAAGAAAAGATGAGGCAAATCTAAAAAGCAGCAAGTTTAATGTAAAACTAACCTGTTACAGCCTAGAGCTGCAACGATTAGTCGATTACTCGATTACTCTATTAGTCAATCAAAAGAAAATCAATTGCCCACTCTTGTGATATCCGATAATAAATTCAGGTCACGTCCCTGATCACGAGTACCTATGTATTCTATCAATTGTTCAGTAATTTTTCCAGCAAAAATGTTAACTACATGCTGGGCCCAGTTTCATAAATGTAAGGATTTGCTACTTTCCTTTGATAGTAAATGAAGAGTCTTTGTGTATTGGACTGTTAGTTGAACAAAAGCAGCAATTTCAGACGTCAGTTTTAGGTCTTATCATGAGTATTTTTCACACGACATTTCATAGATTAAATTATTAATCGTGAAAACAATTGGCAGATGAATTGATAATGAAAATAATAATTAGTTGCATCTCTTTTACAGCCAACCAGTAAATATTGACTTTACACTTGAATTTGGGCTAAAACGTATTTTCAGCTGTTGCAACAGGCTGACCTCTATCTGAAGACAGAATACTTGTCTAGTCTGGACACCAAAAACATAATTTACAGCAACATTTACATCACAAACTGATAATATGTCAAAAATGGAATTTTACCACCAGCAACTAGTCACTAACATTTTTAACTGAAACTTCATAACTTGGGGACATTTGATTTGAAGAGAGAGCAGCTGCAGCAGATCTTCCAGATCAGGACCAGCAAAAGACAGATGTGTGCCTGTTAATTTCTGTTGATAATTCTTTTAGTCTTTATATCCTTTATATCCTCCTTTAGCTGAGCATCGGCACTGACAGCAACACTGACACTTACTCTTTGACATACATGAAAAAACACAACCATCAGTGAGAAGACAAACTATTTCTAAGTTATTCTTTCTGCCTGCCATCAATGAAAGGAAGTGGTCGAGGCACTACCGCTTTTCGCCACAACTGCTGCTAGAAACAACACAAAATGAAAGTTCATTGTAGGGCCCTTAAACATTTTGAGAAATACAATAATTTGCTTTCATTCTGCGAGTGAAATTAAATGTAAAGTGATGAAAAGGCCCCCACAAAACCCGAGCCCACAAAATTCCAACTACACCTCTGAAGATTTTAAACTAAAAGAGATGCTGCTTGTAAAACCCAGACTTTGAACACGTCTCCACCCACTTGTGCGTGTGTGTGACAGTTGTTTGTTGCTTTCAGTCAGCATTAAGATCAAAGTTGGAGGTGAAAATGTGTTAGATACTGTTAAGGAACTGAGGAGGCACCGTTTGTTAATTGTAGGACAATCTGAACTTGCATTTGTGGATATTCTGAATGTCCAAAGAGTTTGAAAGTTTAAGGTGTATTATTTCAGAGCATCTGATAAAGTTTTTTGCTGCATGCTTTTGGCAGTTTTTTAAAGGTTCCCAAAAGATATTTGTTTGATGTCAAGCACCTTATCATTATGCATTTGTTTATGTGTTGAGGTGGTGATTGCTGGGAGATGAATAATTAATAGTTAATAGTAAATGGTTTTAACAAATTAATTTTTGCACTCTGCTCCACATTGAACCTTGCACTTTAGTGGCCAGGTGTGCTGTATTTTGTGCTGCTTGACGATTCCAACAAAGGGTCACACTTTGTTTTGAACTCTTGGAGATTAAATAAAGTGTCAAATTCAAAGGTTCTACTAAAAATAAATATACAATATATAATCAGTCTGGTTAAGGTACTTTTAGGTTGCTATTAATATATTGCATGTGCTTATTCTTGTTCAGAAACAATCTTTATTCATTCATTCAATCATTGGTTATCAGATTACAAGCAAAAACCATTCTGCTAAATTAAAATGAAATAGATTTTTGTTCTGGATTACCACTGAAAACTATTGACAGCACTGATGAACCATGAGAGCAAGTGTAAGAAGAGTTGGGTGACTTACAGCGGACCTCCAGGTACATGTACTGGTTGTCCTCGCCGATGGAGTTGCTGGCGGTGCAGAGGTACTGGCCGGCGTACGTGAACTGGATGTTTTTCAAGGTGAGAGAGGACACCCGTGCGTGGCTGCGTACCACAATATTTCTATCAAGGCTCTACAAAGAAGAAGAGAAAGTAATTACTGTCACTTATAAAGCCTGACATTTGCTCTCAGTGATTCCCTCCAGCCTGTTTAGCTGCTGAGGTTTAGTTGTTGGTCTAAACACTGAGAGCTTCCTAGAAAGAAAGAAAGAAAGAAATGAAAAGAGATGATGGGGTTATGTTTCTACTTTGTTGGTAATAAACTGGATAAAATAGAATATCTAAAGAGATTGACAGGTGACCTACAGTGTGTGAATTGTACTGCAAAAACAGGGAAAGGGAGTGGAAAAAAGATAATCTTGTACAGATTGGCGGTCAATGTCTTAAATTTTTTATGATAAAATAAAGGATAAGGCTGAGATTATTCTATATTTTTCAAGCCACAAACAAGATGGGGAAGTTAGAAAGTTCTGAAAGGAGGACTAACACACTGTTGGTTTTGACATTTTCAGGGGATTATTAGATGATAAAAACATAAAAATACGCCAGCCGTATCCTTTACAGTGTGGATGTAACTAAGATAAAAAGTTCTGGGTCAAAGTTAATGTTATTGTCCTTGGTTAAAGAAATTCAGGTGGTCATGGTGCACACAGAAATCCTAAAATCAATAAAATATACATGTTGTCAAACAAACTGTCTATCTCTTGCAGATGTACAAATCACATCACTGAGAAAGCATCCCTGCATCTGCCTGGAAATTCAGTAAGTGCACAAAGCCCGGGCCACTAAACTGCAAACTCCTACAGTATGTCGATTACTGTCCCTACCATTTAGCAGTCTAGTTGCAGGTTTACAGACAGTCTAATTGCTGTTGGAACAGTATAATTGCAGTTGGGACAAATGGCTTGTTAAACCTTGCTTTTACTTTCCTTAGCAGATTGCCTTTATTGGCCTGCCTACTTAGCTGAACCTGTTTTATTGTGGATATGCAGGGTCACTGAGGAGGCCTTATTCAGGGCTCTCGGCACAGGTATGCAGCTGACATCCGAGTCCACCCAGTGACCTTACTTGACTTTTTAATCATGTGTTGCAACCTAGCTTGATCTGTAGTGTATATGTTACCAAAAAGGCCAAAGGTTCTATGTTCTGCTCTGTTCTTGGTTCTCAGTAACGTTTATAGTCACATCTGAGCATTTCCCTATACATTATGTTGCCAAAGAGGAAATGTGACCTTCCCACCAGGAAAATAATTGAGATATATTCTTGAAAATATGCTGCAGAAGGTAGCAGGCAAAAAAAGAGACATCAACAATGAGGAAGAGCCATGTGGCAGGCCCTATGAAAACTCACACTGGCAAAAATACAGCAATAGCTTTACTTGCCTCCAGGCGACTCACAGTTTAAACCAACAGGGAATATACATCTTCCTTCTAGCTGCCATGATTTTCTATTAATATTTCAGGCATTCTATGTGCTTCAGCGTTTATGTTTTATAAATAATTGAATGATATTTGTTGTATTAGCATTATGGCATGAACTGTTATCCTCTGCAGAGCAGGGAGATGCAGATGTGGCAGAAACATCTTTGCTGTTTACTAGAGATCTGAGGGAGTGTCCTGGAACATTTTGAAAGGGCAGCATTAATCTTGTCTTACTGCAGTGACACTGGAAAGAGCTGCACTGGGCACACTGTTGGAATGTAAACGGAGATAAGGTTAATGGAGAATAATACTTTAATGATACAACAGAGGTAGAAGTGAACAGGCAGACCTTTGAACAGGATTTATTAATTCATTCCAATGAATCATTTTAATTATACAACTCTGATTTGTCACCAAATTAATTAGAACAGTGCACTTGTCATAGAAGGCATGGAAATGATTTTTTACAGTTTCCCCTGTTTGCATAGTTCTTTGTTTTGTAGGGCAGAGCTGACACTGTTACATAACCCATCAATACACATGTTTCACTTGTCATATATTCTGTACTACAACTGTTATGTAGGAGAGACTGCCAGCCAGAATCAGCACAGGCTGCGACTATCAGTGATGCAGTGAACAAACCGGCTCACTCTTTATATGTGCTGCTTCTATATTTCAGCACCTCTCCGCTGAATCCATAAAAAGATGTTAATGCTGCATTAATGTCATGCTGGAATTCTGAAAATACCCGACTGGGAACAACTGTTTGTGTCAGTATCCTAATGGTAATTACAATTACAAGGAGGACATGTGAAGATATTTTAGCTCCAACTTGAATTGCAAAGGTTTGTCAGCAGGCAACACAAGAGGTAAACTAGTGTTGAATAATTAGAACAGCCCGAGTTATTACTGCCACACTAGTAGTTTTGTGGGACTGTATAGAAGCCGTGGTTGAGCTAAATGTTAACATGCCACGGTTCAACAACTAATGTTTAAGTACATCTGAGGCAGATGGGAATATTATTAGTTTAGAAGGTATTTGGTCATAAACTATTGATTGACTTTGAATTGCGATCTAGGTGAAAAGTAGGATTCATCTAAATTATTTCAGTTCGTCCTGTGGGTAGTAACATGGATGTCTGGCCCCAATCATTCACTAAAAGCCATCCAAACAGCTGTTCAGGAGCAAAATGAAATCATCATGCTGAACTTTCAAAAACCTTTCAAGAACCAACTATGTCCTTTTGATGTGCTGCTTGGTAAGTGAGAAAAGCTGTTGTGGGACAGAGAAAAAAGGAAGAACTGAACTGGTTGTGTTATCGATTTTATATCACTTCAATGCTGAAGTAGAGCTTGCACAAGCAGGCTGGTGGCCCATAATGTCATGAAGCATGTCAAACTACTTTGTGGTTTTTCAGTTTGTGCTGATGCATGCATTGTTATCCTTAATTCTGTGATAATCTTAAATCTTTAATTTTTTCTCCGGCTGTGATGTCACTATGTTTCTGCCAGATAGAGAAATCTTCTGGCACGCCATTTCTTTTCTACTTGCTGACTACAGCTCCTCTGAATGTGCTCCTCATTCCAATTACAAATGAGGGCTTGGACACCTTCATTTGTCCAACAAATCTTCTTCTTTGTTCTTCCATTGCCCTAGACGATACGGATGCTGTGGTAAAATGGTGGTTACTGTGTGCTTGTTGTCGTAATCCTTGATTTTTGCTTTTATTGGACAGCGGACAGAGACAGCTTAAGAGAGACAGGGAAGGGGAAGAGAAAGCTGGGAAGACCTGCAGTGAAGGGCTGGAATAAAACCCAGGCCACTGCGGTAAGGACCGGCCCTAGCACATGGGCCATGGGCTCCACCAGGTGAGCTTTCAGGGCACCCCGTTGCCATCCCTGTTATGATGTGACAAGACATCTGCTTGACCAACCTCTTAAATATATATAAATATAGAAATATTACCTCCTGAGCAGTGTCATAATTTAGGAACTAAAAAAGCAGGTCCTGTGACCATATGCACAGCACACACACTTTTCTTTCTCTTTATTTCTGCAGTGGAAAGGGCGATTATGCTGATGAAAGTAGAGCTGCGTGTCCTTAAGTAGAGCTGAGCCTGACAAGCTGAGCCAACAATGTCTTAAAATGGCCACTGTAGCTAGAATAAAGCTTATGATTAACTGTCTCACGATTCAGGGGCTGGATCCTCCTGCAGGATGTGGCACATGAAGGTGAACCTGCACCTCCTCCAGAAATTAAACAGTCTGCTGAAACTAATGGTGCATTCAAGTGGTCCTTGTCAACTAAAGTCAAACATTTTGACATTCAGGGCGCCCTGGAGGCCTGGAGACCCTGCTGTTCAGTCGCTTACCATGAATCTTTCAAGGAGTTCATAATGGATAAGTGGTGGATAGTGTACTGTTAGGTTTTCAATTTATCTGTAATTCCCTGGAGGATGTACCGATATTCAAGCTGCTAACAAGAACAGACAGCAGATTTTATGTCTTTCTTACATTATTTACACTTTGTAGCAGCTTTGTCATTTGTCTAGTTGATGTGTACTAATGACTAATAAACCTTAATAAAAAATTGTGGTGAATTTGTGCATTGCCTGAATGCTCTATTTAGCACTGCAGACATCAATGGCATTCAGGAGGCAGGTTATTATAATCTGACCTCGATCTGGTTTAAGTGTCAGCCTGCCTTCTAGAGCGCACTTCTCTTTCTTTAGCATAATATCACCTATCAGGATTAATTTGTCACCGTGACTAATCATATAATTTATGCTTGTTAGCAGCCTATGATTTATGTCCATCACAGAGCTGAATTCAGCCAGAATCTAATGCAAGCAAAACTACTATTGGGGACTACAGATTAGTTTGACTCTGAGCTGTTTGAAGTGCATTTTCTGTGGTGGGCTATGTACTCTTACTACTCTCTTCCTGTAAAGACAAGCAAGAAACCAGTGAGAAGAAGAAGAGAAAACAAACATTAAAGAGTTAAGGACATGCTCTACAAACTTCAGTCTTCTCACTGGCAATCATCTACTGTCAAAGGGCAAACTTAACTAGGACAAATGGCTACACTTATCTACTCACAGTAGCTACTTGTCTACAGAAACAAGGGAAAACCTACAGGGATAACACCATCATGGAATAATGAAACCACCTACGGGAAATGTACTACATACAGTACCTTACAGTACATTAAAACTGAGAAGTTGAATTTCAGTTTCAAATTTTCTGTGTAAATTTCATAGTCAGCCGTGTCAAGTAGTGTCCATTGAACAGTATTATAACCAGAGAAGTAAAACAAAAGTGTCAGCGCCAACTATAATGTAAACTACAAAATAACTCATGGCATAATAAGATAATCACATAATAATAAATATGCTGCAGCTGTGGTCTGCAGGGCCTTAAAGGTAGGGTCAGTCATTCTGGAGAACGATAGCTGGGAGGAGTGTTGTGTCGCTCGCTGCAAGTTTGTTTCCCATTTACCATATTTAATGACCTGGGAATGAGACTCAAAAATCAACTATCTTTCTCCAGAATGACTGAGCTGCCCTTTAAATCACACCACCTGAAATCCAGGTGACTGTTCAACAATGTGACACCACACCGGACACATGCTGGGATGTGTTAAACAGACTTGTGATACGGTAATTACAATGAACTTCAAATTCAAAAACTGAATTATGTGATTGGCTAATGAAATTAATTAAACCAGTCAGAGGGGTATTGTATGTTTTTAGAAAAAACAAGTTTTTCAGAATTCTGAGCTGCACAAATGAATGTATTATGTACATGGAGTTCATTGTGTATTTTTACAGTGAAGGTTAGTAAGGTATATTATTACGTGTGGCAGTGAATAAAGTTAGCTTGTACTTTGTAGAGGGCCAAGAGTTTGCATGTTTCTTTGCAATCAAACACTACACCAGGGAGCTAAGTGTTTTTTGATTCATAATTAAATATGCTTGTGATAATTTCCCATGGCAGGTTCGATTCCTAAAATACTGGTTACTAGTTTAGTAAGAGACTAAGCTAAATCATAAACCCCTGTACTTCAAATGAGCACAGCACAAATTATATCTCATATTGCGGTGCAAATTGAAATCTCAAGATGCACTCAAAACTTTGACAAATAAAACCAAAACTATCTGCACGACTAGATACCATAAGGGATAAGTGAGAAAACTTGTTTTTTTCTTTCTGTAATTTGGTTGAAGTGATCCAGTAAGACTAAATGAGGCCCCAGATGATTTGACTCTCCCTCTGACTGAAGGTATCTGAAGGCTGCTGTAGTGTGCGGTTGAAATAAAAACATGCAGACTTCTGGCTTATAATAGTAAGCTACAACATTTAAACCACTCTGTTAAGATTTAGTATATTGTTAAGTTAGCGGCATGGCTGGCCCTCAGCAGAGCAGACAGTGTTTTCTATGTGAGGTTGTAGAGCTGCAGGCTCAAAGTCTGAGAACTAACCAGACCATGCAACAGGATACAACAGCATGCTATACGGCCAAAAAAATGGAACATCTACTTTGAGATACTGTGACCGTCTCTGCGTCTCGAGATGGAATTTGTTGACGAAAATAAACAGGGACAAGTAAATAAGGCAAGTCTAAATGCATACTGGAACTAAATGGATTAAATGTACTGTACTACGTGTCTAATGGTCTACATATTTAGTGCACAACTAATTGTAGTGAGCATTAAATGTAGGCTGGGTGGGAAACACTTCTGCTCTGCAATAAAAAGGGGTGGTCTACTGTGTAAGTCTGGGCTATTACAACTAGAGTCAGGCTACCAGATTTAGTAGCCATACCTCATATTTGTCTGGTCGCGTCCAAGAAGCCTAAAGAGGACAAACACAGAGGAAGCAAAGACAAACAGCGACACAGTGGGGCAAAGTAAGCTTTTGTAACACAGAGAGAGTGAGTGCAGACTGGATTTACCTGCAGGAGATGTGAAATGATTTCATGTTTGAAGGACCATACTGGTGATTTTGAATGTTTTAGCTCATTGGCTACAAATATTGCTGCCAATCATTTTCCAGGAAATACCAGAGTATACCTTCCAGGGAGATTTCCATCCATTTAAAATTGATAGGGAAATCAACTTGCAGTGACTGAAATTTCCAGGTGAGTTAGGTAATCCATCATGGTGAACTTCCTGTCTGCTTTGGTATTGTATTGTTTATGCTAAAATAAGTCTACCATGCAACATTAATGTAGCTTTGATAGAAACTAATGCTGACATAATGCCTAATGTGACAGATTACCCAACTCAGGTTTGTGCATTGATTTTCATACCCTAGTGAAATAAATGGAAACCGATGCTTGCCTGAATGGCAGGAGAACACATTCTAACATGTTGTGTACAACATTTCTGTGGAGCGTGCAGCAGTAACGTTCTCATGATTTATAGTCAAGGGGCTTAAACATGTATAAACACTGGTTTTGTTCTCAAAAACAAAAATGTATACAGAGCTAGCAAAAACATTGATGAAGATTACAAGGATTTAATTTCACATTGGATAAGACTGAATTATTTTTCCACCAAGTAGTTTTTTTTCAATTATGATTAATTCTGTCAAAGTTAAATTATAGTACTCTATTAAGATAGAGCAAGAAGCAATATTAAAATCCAACATCATTAAGTTCAAGGTTCTTAAAGTGAAAAGGACTGTTTTGGCGAGGTCAGGGTTTCCGGTTTGGCAGTACAACTGTGTTCAGGGAATTTACAGAACTGGTCAAAATGCCAAACGAGAGCATATTTTCCAAAAGCAGCATGGGGGCTTCTCAGCCAGTTATTAATTAATGTACTGTAATAAGGGAGAATTTGGATGCACACTGAGGAAAACAGGCCACTGAAACTAATTATGAGGCAGCCATTAACGGTATCGAGGGACTTTGTTTTCCTAATCAGCGGCTTTCTCATCATAGCATTCTGTGCTTTGATTAACTCATTCATTTATGTACAGTACGCTGGCGTGCACCACTTATCTTCCTTTAATAACAAGTACATACAGATTCTTCTTCTAATTTCATGGCGTAAAAAATAACATGGTATAAATGTGCAAAGAACCTCAGCATCACACCGAAATCCCTTCTCAAGACATGATACAATAACATCCGCTATACTTTTCACCAGACAAGAAACTCAAAAGAGGCCGGAGCAGCCGGCGAAATGACTGCTCTGTAATTTGACATCCTTATGAATATGTCTGTTTTCTTGTTGCTCGACTGGTATGATGTAAAACTAGAACGTGAAAGGAGGACACAGCGTGGAGAGACCAATGATGAATGACGATCCAATGGAAATTAGTGACAGCTATTACCAAACGATCAGCGGGATTTTCTGATTACTGCAGCATTAAATCAAAACTGATCTGACAGTGATAGATAGGAAAGAGAGGGATGATGACAGCCTGTGGAATGGAAGAAGATACTCGGTGACAACTGTGAGTGGCGACAGGCAAGTCCCATCTTGCAGGTGGAAGATAAGATTCAGTAACTTACAAAACAGCCGTGAATGCACTGTGCTGTGTGAATGCTTCCACTGATTGGCAGTCATAAATGGCAAAGTTAAAAGGAAAAACTAGGGACACCTTAGCAGAATCAAAATGCTATTCTGATAATCCACCGGCACAAATGAAGAAAGAAGAAGAATTAAACACTCACTGGACGGATGAAACAACAGGGTAATGATTGTATTATTCGTAGAAGCTTCCAAATCGTAACTTTAAAAATGAAAGTTGGGTGACGCTACCAGGAAAACAATGAGGTGATACAAATCAAAATATGGTGTTAAATTTGAGTATGAATCTAGTAGATACCTTTATTGCACCACTTTCACTCTACTTTCATTCTTTATTATTCTGTGAAATTATTATTTTTTTTGGCATGAAAGCGAGGTGAAGACATGCCACCATCAGAAGCACTTGCATGTATTCCAAGTTGTGGCACAACCCCAACAAGGCTACGTGCATTGTGCTATATTGCATAGTAATTCATTTCGCTTATTTCAGTGACTAATGTGCTCTGATGAGGTTTTATGTATTTTCCTAGTTTATTGTTAATCTAAAATAATAAATCTGCGATGTTTTGCTGAGCAAAGTAGTTTTCAAGTCCTGTTATGGTGTTTTCTATATTTAAATTTCTATCTATATCTCGCTTGGGTAAAATCTTAAAAGTCTTAGATTGACTGCACTGAAGGCAGGCTCAAAAATAGAAAATCATTCATCATACTGGGAAGATTCTGGATTGAATTCATAAAGTCTCTAAGCACTGCCACCCTCCGCTTCCACAGAATCTGGTTGAAATCTGCATAATTGGTTAAAAAAAAGACTGCACTGTTCTTCCAAAATGGAATCTAACAGAAAAGGGAGCTACATTTTTCATAGATTCTAGTAATGTGGACGTTTATCCTTTAGAATAAATAGATTTACAGATTGTCTCACAAAGCCATTACAGATGTGGGAAATGTCTTATCAGCTCCCAGGCACATAGGTGGACTGTAGGATGACTATTAAACATGGTAGCTTAATTGACATTTTAGACACTATAATCTTTAGGAAAAGTTATATTAGATATAATGTATTGCCACAGTGTTCCAACATTTTGAAAATTGACTGATATGGTAATTTTTTTACACTGTCAAAAGTTGACAAAAGGCAACAATTATGTTTCTTCATCACTATGAGTACTTTTTGGGGGTTTTATATATACTGTGCATCATCCTGCTGCTATAAATACTTGCTAGGGAAACTAGTCCGGAACAAATGCACTCCTGTTTGATTAATTTTGAAACTACTGTGCCCAGTTCTTTTAACACTTAACACATTGTTGGGTTTGGTATTTTCTTGGGATATTATTCATCCATATTCATGTTACCAGTACCATTAGTAAAGACATGTCATAACTGTGGTATTTTTAATTTCATGTTGTTATACCAAGGTAGAGCGGTTCATTTCACAGTGATATATTTGATGTAAAAAAAATGCTCTTCATGGCAGCTTTAGGACATAATTCACCACAGTAGCTGAATACAGCTGGACAGAGTTGTGAAGTAAAGTAGGTCATTATGGCCCAAATATTATGCAACTCCTTTGGGACTTCACAGGACAGGTGCTTTCACTACTCTGTGTGTGTGTGTGTGTGTGTGTGTGTGTGTGTGTACCCATTGTTACATGCATAAATCATTTGTAACATCCACACATCCACTGTTTGATAATGTAAGCCGTAGGGTTCCCGAGGACCACTTTTACATTGCCAATTTCGCTGTGAGAGAGAGCGCACTAGAGAGGAAGACAGAGTGGTTGAGCATAAAACCAAAACTCCAAGCCAAATCTTAGTTTATTCTGGATTTCATAATGGTTACTTAATGCTAAATAAACTCATACGCAATGCAACACTCTGAACACAACATGCTGAAAGGTGATGACGGGCTGGCTACCTTATGTACAATGACCTACTTTAATAACAAATCAGTATATTGTGTGTAAGTGTGATTAAAAATGCACCACAGACTGAGCCATATTCAAGAGTATTGCTATAAAAATAGCATATGATAGCCTATAAAGATATATTAATATTATTGTTTAGCTTTTGTTGCCAAATCATATAATTTCATTCCTGCCTGGTAGCAAAGTTTCGTACCAGTACCAGTTCATAACGATGGCGATTGGAAATACACAGTACCTAACTTCCATTATTAACAGCATTCATTTTTGCAGTATTTAAGGAAAGCTGAAGCACTAACCAACGTATGAGGTGTTCTTCCTGCATCCACAAACCTGCTAGAGGCAGCAAGGTAATTATCTTAATACTGTTTACTGCATTCACAGCAGAAAATTACCCCTCTGAAGTGACTAATCCGTCTACTGTTCATGCTGATGCATGTTGTCAGAATAGACCGTTAAGATGGATTTTTCAAAATTATACCATTTTAATGAGCTGATAAGAGCCTAACAATAGACTTTGGATGAGAGTCTCTCTTCAGGCTGGCGACTGCCAACACGCTGTGACCACTGTAATGGAGAAAATGCACACGGATGGTATTCAAAGCTCACACGTCTTAAGAAGCCTTTTACCATGTTCTAAAGCCACAGCTTTAATCCAGTGTTATCTCCAGCGCTCCTGAAGGACATTAAACGAAAAACGATGATATACACCAAAGCATGACAAAGATGCATAACCCTTGGTGTTTTTTACTTGCAAAGACTCCTCTACTCTTATATCCTGCTCATCCTGAGAAAAAGTGCCCACTCATTTTCAAAGTGGATAATCACAGT